TCTCAAATATTACTTTGGATGAAGCTACAAATAGTGTCCTTTCCAAAGGGTTTAATTTTGCTATTGCACCGACACGGATTCCCGTCGAAAACATCATTAGCGAAGTGGAAACAACTATCACTAAGTTACCATCAGAAACAGCCGAAATTATTCGACAAGATGTAGCACAAATATTAAGAACAGCTAAGCCTCCGAAAAAGAATTTAACTTACGAAGAGAAGAAAGCCTTGAAGAACATACAACAAAACAAAGACATCATCGTACTTCCAGCTGACAAGGGCAACGCTACTGTCATAATGAATATTGAAGACTACGACACAAAGATACAGAACATACTAAACGACAGTGCATATCAAAAAATCGCAACAGACCCAACAACATATCTGGAGAAAACAACTAAAGCCAAAATACAAGCGTCAAAGATCAAGAAAGAACAGCAGTTCCAGCTATTCCACGAGAAAAGTCGTCAAGATGTCCAAAACTTTACGGTTTACCCAAAGTACATAAGGCAGAGTTACCATTACGACCAATAGTCAGCTCTATCGGGTCACCACTACAATCACTGGCAAAATTTCTGGCCGACCAGCTACAACCATATGCAGAGAAAGCGGATTCTTACGTCAAGAATGCAAGCCACTTTATCGACCGTATCAAGGACGCTGTTCTGGAACCTGAACACCTATTAGTGAGCTTTGATGTAGTCTCATTATTCACCAATGTGCCAGTAGAAGAATCATTAGAAATTATACACAGAAAATATCCAATACCACACAGGATACATTAAACCTGACGAGGCACTGCTTAAACAACACCTATTTCATCTACAAGACCAGAGGTACAAACAAGTTGAAGGGGCACCGATGGGTTCACCACTGTCACCCGTAATAGCCAACCTTTTATGGAAGATATAGAATCAAAAGCAATAGAAACAGCAGAGCATAACCCAAACTGTGGCTTAGGTATGTTGATGACACATTTATTATCTGGACACATGGAGAAGAGAAGCTTAACGAGTTCCTACAACACATTAATAATATCCACCCAAAAAATACAGTTTACCATGGAACGGGAGAATAACCAACAACTTCCATTCCTAGATGTGTTAGTTATTAAGAAAGAAGACGGAAGCATAGGACACACAGTATACCGAAAACCAACCATACTGACAGGTACTTACACGCAGACTCACACCATCATCCTGCACAATTAAATTCGGTAATAAAAAACCCTAATAACAAGATCTGAGAAACTGGCAGATAAGGAACATAAGAACGAAGAAATGCAAAAAGTCCAAAACAGCTCTAAGAAAAATAGCTTCTCCATGTATACGATTGAAAAGGCACAGAAATCCGAAACAAAATCAAAGATCCAGAAGAAGAGGAAAAACCAGTCGGAAAAAACTATCCTGCCCTATATAAAGGGTACGACAGACAAAATCAGTAGAGTGCTACGTAAAAACAACATAGAGACTATTTTTAACACCGACAAAAAAATCGCAACCATATTACCATCGGCAAAAACAAAAGTTGCATTGGAAAATCAAGGTGTATACAGAATCCCGTGTGAGGACTGCGATAAATCGTACATCGGACAGACAAATCGAAGGATACAAGTTAGACGCGAAGAACATCGAAACGCCATCGAAAGAAAACAGAAAACTTCATCTCTAGCACAACATGCCATCAACACAGGACACAAAATCGACTTAAATGGAACAACAATGCTAGCCAATATCGAAAATAAGGCCAAACGTGTAATCAGGGAAGCCATAGAGATCGAAAAACATCCAAAAATTTAAATACCAGAGACGATGCCCAAAGACTCCCAAATACGTGGAAACATATTCTACAGAAAAACGTAGAAATTAAAATAGCGAAGAAGACCCCGCCCACTCTGCGCACAGGACCAATAACAAGAAGCGCTTCAAGGTATTTAAACTTAGCGAGCAGCGACCGAGAAATCAGTTCTCCTGAAACATCAAGACGAAGCAGAACTAATCTGACTTGACAATGGCAAGTGTGACCTTGCCGAAACGTCGTCAAAACAATGGTTTTTCTAAAAACCAAAATTACTTAACGCGGAGTCAAACCCGGAAAACAACTGAAATCACATATAGCTCCCGCGGAAGTTTCAAATCCAATATATATATTATATATATATATATATATATATATATATATATATATATATATATATATTTTTATATATATTTTTATTTTTAGTTATTTGCATATCGGTCACGCCAAAGCTGCTCTACTCAACCAACATTATCAGGAAGCGTTTCAGGGGAAACTTATTTTACGTTTCGACGATACTAATCCTGCCAAAGAAAATGTGCATTTTGAAAATGTTATTCTGGAAGATGTAGCAATGTTACAAATTAAACCCGACAAATTCACATATACCTCAGATTACTTTGACCTTATGTTACAGTTATGTGAAAAAATGATGAAAGAAGGAAATGCCTACGTAGATGATACTGAACCAGAGGAAATGAAAACTCAAAGAGAACAGAAAATAGAATCTGTCAACAGGAATAATGGTATTTACTGTTTCTTAAACATTTTCTGTTTGAACGCAATCTCAAAATGATTTAGTATTAAAGTAGAGTAAATTAACACTATAAACATTTTAGATGTTCAGAAGAATTTTGCTCTGTGGGAAGAAATGAAAAGAGGTACTGTGAAAGGTCAGAAGTGTTGTGTTCGAGCCAAAATGTTTATGGATTCTCCCAATGGCTGTTTAAGGGACCCTACCATTTACAGATGTAAGAATGAACTCCATCCACGAACAGGAAGTAAATATAAGTAAGTAATAAAAAGTTTCTGAAATTGTTGTCTTGTGGCATGTCTAAGTTAAATATTAAAAAATAAGATATTTAAATAATTAAGTATAGTGTGATAACACTTAAGAACAATAAAAATTTTATTTTTAGGGTTTATCCTACGTACGATTTTGCGTGTCCGATTGTCGATTCCATAGAAGGAGTAACTCACGTCTTGCGAACAATGGAATATCATGACAGAGATCATCAATTTTACTGGTTTATTGAAAAATTAGGATTAAGAAAACCACATATCTGGGAGTATAGCAGACTATCAATGACAAATACAGTACTTAGTAAAAGAAAATTAACGTGGTTTGTCAACGAAGGACTTGTAGACGGATGGTAAGCGGATAGTGAACTTTTATTTGCAAAACCCGCTTTACCTAATAATGATATGAAGGGAAAGGAAATAGCTAATGACACATTGTTAAGTAAACTAAAGTCTTTTAAAAAGAAAAGTAGGTTATCAATAGTATTATTTAAATGTCTTTAGGAGTGTTGGGCCAATGATATTTAATTCTGTGACGATTGAACGTTTTCCACTCTTCCACTAGCGCATTTTTTACTGTAAGGGACGAATCACATTTATCACAAATAGAACATTTTTCTTTTTTAAACAACTCTTCATGGTAAAACTGGATATGTCCCAAGTCGTAAACGGGAAATAATTATTTGCTTTGGTCGGGATACTTCTCGTGGTTGTCATGGTCCAATCTTATTTTTTATCTCCCGAATCTTGATGGTGTGAATTTCTATTTATTGTTCCTATTCTGGATTGGGATGATATCTAGATCCATAATAATTACAGATGGGGGTAATATCTTCTTGTTACGGTGTATATCCGTTCCGGATATTGGCGATCAGCATAGCTATCCTAACTTTACTTGCAGCTATTCGGAATAGTCCGGTTGTAGACGTATTGAACCACTTCCTTAGGCTTTGAAGCCAAGATATTCTTCTTCCCCCTGGTCTTTCCAAATATCTTGTCCTGAAGAATGAGTTACAATAAACCATATGATGCGCATGTAACACCACATCTCGAAGACCTCGAACTTTCCTAAAGAAGCTTCAGAGAGCGTCCATGCTTCTATTCCGTATAATAATGTAGAAAATACATAGCATGTGATGATATAGATTTTGGTACTAAGTGGTAAATTGTGACTTATGAAAAGAAACATCTTTACGAACGCTGATCTTGCTTTCCCTATGCGTTATTTTATTTCAGTAGAGTGGTCCCATTGACTGTTTATGTTAGTATCAAGATATGTGTAGCTGTTGACCCTGTCAATTGGCTGTTGGTTTACCAAAAGATGTGTATTTAACATTTCGCGCTTACTAACTACCATGTACTTTGTTTTGTTCGTATTGAGATCCAGCCCATCTTCTCGACTTATATCTCGACTCTATCATTCAAGCCCGTTTCTTTCAAGATGGATATAAGCCTGTCATGTTTTACTCTATCAAATGCCTTTCTGTAGTCGATAAAACAAACATATACATCACAGTTGACATCCCTGCAGCTCTGGATAAGCACTTGTATAGCGAATAGAGCTTCTCGGGTGCCTAAGGTATTACGGAATCCAAATTGTGTTCATGACACTTGTGAAACTGAAGAAACGCAATTTTTTACGCTCCTGGTCTATTAAATCCGTTTGAATAACGGTATTCAAATTGCTATGTATATACTGTTTTACGCTCTGTTCTGTGCGTGGGTCTTTGAATAGCCTGATGATTGACACTGACACTCTGCAAATCAGTGGTTTATGGTCTGACTTAGTATCGGCTCCTGGGTATATCTTGACTGATGTAATGCTGTTTCGGAATCTTTTATTAACCATAATGTAATCTATTTGATTTCTGACTATGTGACCTAAAGTATATTGAGGTGATTTCTACGTGTATAATTTTCTGTATTGAAGTTTGAAGTAAGTGTTAGCAATTACAAACTCTTCTTCTCAATCTTCCTACAATCGGCCTCCTCGCTCATTTCTTTCTCCAAGCCCAAACTGCCCTATGAATTCTCCCGATTGTCTCCTACCAATATTGGCACTGAAAAAGATAAACATCAAAAACATTGAGGCATTCGAGATGTGGTGTTACAGGAGAATGTGGAAAATATCATGGACAAAAAGAGTAACAAATCAAGATGTTCTGCTGAAGATGGGGAAGGAATGCGAAGTCATAAAAACCATACAAACGAAAAAACTGGAATATCTGGGCCACATAATGAGAGGAGAAAAGTACTCTCTGCTTAGACTCATAATCCAACGAAAAATCTCGGGAAAGAGAAATGTGGGACGTAGGAGGATTTCCTGGTTGCGAAATTTAAGGGAGTGGTATAGCTGCAGTTCAATACAGTTGTTCAGAGCTGAATAGAAGCTGAAAGAAGAAGAATATTGGCATTTAAATCACCCATAATCAAGGTTAGATCTCTTTTGGGAAAGTGTTTCAATGTGTTGGATAATTCATTAAAGAATGCTTCACTTATGTCTCTGGTTTGTCAGCTGTAGGGGCATATACCTGGATAATGTTAGTTGTTATTGGGTAGGTATTAAGTTGAAGGAGAACCATTCATGGGGTGATATAGGTGAAACATATGATATCGTTTATGGCTTATTTGGAATTTCTGTCTGCTGCTTCATTAGCTGCTATTTTAACATGTGATGGAACCCAGAGAAACTATATATCTTCAGTATTGTGACGGGTAGCTCTTTTAGACAGCAGACTCAGTAAAACAGATTCAAATTAAATAAAAGTATATTCGAAATAAATAAATAACAAAATAAAAGTAGATCCTAAACTCTGATTTACCAGTAGATTTCAGCATTGGCTCTTACGGACAGTGTTAATCAAATGGAAGAAAACGCTGTAGCGTTGCTAGTGCATCGTCGGCCTCAACGTGGCGGAGCCGGCTTCGAACTGAACACTCCCTTACACACGGAGCACTTGCAATTTTGCACTAACATTCACTGATTTGCCCTAATGACTGTTCCAGAAAATATTCTGACGTCGTCGTAATATAGTGCTCAACAATTGATAAGGATCATAATTATGATTTCAAATATTTTAAAAGTTTGTTGAGATCCTAGTATGATGACTTGAATAGAATAAATAAAAATAGACGACTTTAATATTCAACTTTTTGCTGTCCCTACTAAAAAATGGCCATAATGGCAAAATTTATTTTATTTCGTTTAAAATTGATAATAAAGTCGGGGTATTAATATTACTTTAATTATATTAAATTTTTACAAACTTTGGCTATTTCTGGAGTAAACTATTACTTCGATCCTTATCAATTGTTGAGCACTATTGTATTTGACGAATAGAAAATTTCTTACATCTCTTGTTGTCATATTTATGGAAATGGATGCTTGGAGACCTTTTGAATGGAATTGAAATGAATAGAAAGAAATTGTCACGATTAGTAGATAAGTCAAAATTATATCGAGGATACATCATATTTATTTTAGTATTATTTGTACAGGGTGTTTCATTAACAGTTATTAACATAAAGTCGTAGAATTCGTAGAATAGCTTACTGACTAATGGGCGTTTGTAGAAATGCTTTAACCGTGTAGAAATTTCGGTATTGTTGTAATTAAATACCCACTTAGAATTTTCCTGATAATAGTATCTACTAATTGTTATACGAGTGCGTATATCTATAGCAGTTTTTGTTCCAAGTTCAAACCAGTTCAAACAATGACAAATTAGATTTATATGCGCGACAAATTATTTTGAATATGTTGATATATACAACAAAAACAAATTCCGATCTGACTCCAACACAAATTGTTTCTACAACAAGTACAGCGCTGGGTGTTAGCGATAGGGCAGTCTGGAAAATTCGTCAGGAAGGATTGGATCATAATAAAATTCTGAAAAACCCACGTAAACGGACCAAGAAGGAAACCAATCGGGAGTTTACCTACTACGATGAGAATATCAGGAGCCAATTGAGAAGACTTGTTCACATGGAATTTTTCTTAAAGAACATACCTCCCACAATCAAAGCTATCCTGGATGCCGTTAATTTACACGAACATTTGCCTAAATTTTCCAAAAGTACTCTATATCGACTATTGCGAGAGATGGGGTTTGTTTATGAAAAAAGAGGAAAGAAAGCAGTAATGATAGAACGTCCTGACATAATAAATTGGAGGCATAAATTTCTTAGAAAAATATATAATTATCGAAATCAAGGATACAATATTTTCTATTTGGATGAAAGTTCGGTAAATATCGGACATACAGTAAATAAGGTATGGATGGATTCAACCATAACCAGTTATAATGATGCATTTTTAAAGGGCTTGACTATTGCTCTAAATGATCCAAAACAAAGAGATCCGAGATTTGTCTTGTTACATGTTGGATCTGATAGAGGTTTTGTACCAAATTTAGAATGTGTATTTTTAGCAAAAAAGATTCAGTCGACTACCATGACAAATTGAACGGCGAGTCTTTCGAAGACTGGTTTGAAAATAAACTAATCGCAAACCTCCCAAAAGGAGAAAAAAATGTGGTAGTAATGGATAATGGAGCATAGTAGTAGTAGTAATGGATAATCATTCATGCAAACAAAATTTTCCAAGAAGCTCCTGAAACAAACAACATATTCAAGAATGGTTACGAGATTAGGATATATTTTAGGAAGTAAGAACTATTAGATGTAGCAAACAGTTATGCAGATATATACGACAAGTATAAAATCGAAACTTTGGTCGAGAAATACGGCGTAGAAGTATTACGATTGCCTCCCTATCACTGTGAGCTTAATCCAATAGAAATGGTTTGGAGCCAAGTTTAACATTACGTTACAGCCCGAACACTGACTTTAAAAAAGATCGTGTGCAACAACTCATCTATGAAGCGTTTGCCAATGTCTCTGCTGAACAGTGGCAAAATTATATACAGCATGTCACCAGAATTGAAAAAGAAATGTGGATAGCTGACAACCTACAAGAAGATATCATACCAGTGATTATCACAGCCAACACCGGCAGTTCCAGTGAGGACGATTTTTCCGAAATGGAGTAGAGATCAGACACTGTTATTGTAAGTCTTATCTTTATTCATTAGGTAGCTTTAGGCTACATAAATTTTTATTCTTTTATTAGCGTAATTTTATTCTTTGGTGTATACACACTTTTCTTTGTAATAATTGTTGAGACTGTTAATAGTAATAATTGATCCAAGTTGGTATATATCCTGTCGGTATATAAATTAACAATTTAAATTTGTAGACACTACGGAGCTACGAATTTTTTTTTTGTAGCAGTTTCCCTAGTAGACTCCGTTCTGTTGTTACAACCCTGTATAATTTAGTAAAAAAGATTTCAAAGAAAATAGTTTTATTAAATTTTGTGTAATTTGCAAAATCTTGAAGTTGTAAATAATGTTACATTTACTTCTAATAGGATTGCATGATTTAATGTTATCGTACAGGAGGGCCAACGCGGTCCTGTATCACACCTGCAGACTATGAACGTGCCTAGCGGTCTAAGCGGCAACGTCGCTTCTCATAAGCACTGTACTGAAATCCTCTCGTGAATTTGTCTATAGGTATATTATTAATATAAATTAAAACGTTAATCCTGGCGACGGCGATATAACCCACTGTTAAATATCTGCGAAAAATAAAATACAATTAATGACAAAATCTAAATAGCAATTACGGTGCGTTAATACACAGACAGTATGGAGCGGGTCGAAGGAATAGAGATGGAACGGGCTAATCAACACTCGACCTGGCGAGCAACGAATATCTTGGACACAGGAGAGAATAGGTATATCTCAGATCAATACTCCAAGACCAATCAATACCCAAGGGCCAGTGGAGTTATTGTCAGATCAATACTCCGACGGAACTCCCTTTCTCTTGCGGCTGCTGTTCTTTTATACCCATCTCCTCTAGCGTCCATAGTTTCACCGATGTGAAACGTAGAAATTAAAATAGCGAATAAGACCCGCCCACTCTGCACACAGGACCAATGACAAGAACAGCTACAAGGTATTTAAGTTGTTTGCAGTGAAAGTGCGATACGGTTTCTAGATTCTAGATACCAACGGACGTGGAGTACGGATTTTAAATCCACGAATAGGTGGTCAGTAGTGTGCCTGTAAGTGACAAAAACGACGATAATCGTGTAATATGTGTGATAGTGAAACAGCAAAAAACAAATCGGTGGTGAATGAAAAATCCCACAGTGAGGATAAATGCAAAAAGAGTATATTTCAACGTGGCAAAATGAAAAATGGTACCATCCATCCTAAATCTTCTAATATTTTTGATAATTTGTCGATTGATAATAATACTTTTTCTGATATTGTCGATTCAGTTGATAATCATAAGCATAGTGCCATGCTTATAAACGCCAAAAACCAAGAAGACCAAAGAGAAAGTTAATACAACAGATAAAATTGTGGACACTGCAGAAAACGAACAAGGAAAGCTAACAAAAGATAAACACTTAGACAAAGTGGTAACAACGAGTCACCAACAAACAAAAAAGTCAATAATCGAAATAAAAAAGAACAATAGTCGAAACCATCACCGGGAGCAATGTCAAAGATTCCAAAATCACATAAAGCTGAAATTCGAAAAACGACAAAAAGAGAACAAAACACGTCTATCTACCGAGAAGGGAAGATATACAGGAAGAGGAAAACGCTTGCGCTTTTCCACTAACAAACGAAGAAATCATGGACATTACGAAATAACGAAATATATTTAACAATAATAATAGAACTCCATATCTACGGGTTATATACATATAGTCGATTCAAAAATCACACACGCTCACTGTGCAGTACCGTTTCGCTACTGACACTTCTCAGATTTGCCAATTTGCAATCCCTGCAAATGTATGTATTATCGTCTTCAAATTCTTGTCAGAGTAATGCGGGTGATAATATATTATTATTTTAGGGACGATCCTAGGATGCCAACAGTTCGCGGTGTCTTAAGACGAGGTATGACAGTGCAAGGATTAAAAGAATTCATTATTGCTCAAGGTTCGAGCAGATCTGTCGTGTTCATGGAATGGGATAAAATTTGGGCCTTTAACAAAAAGGTAAATAACAAATTAATATATTTTGAAAAAACACAGAAAACTTACATTTCCATTTTAGGTAATTGATCCTATTGCACCAAGATACACAGCTGTAGATATCAATGATCCTGTGACAGTTTTAGTAAAAGGAGCCAAGGAAGAACGTTTATCTGTACCCAAACATCCTAAAAATGCTGAAGTTGGTAACAAATCAATATGGTTGGGTCCAAAAATTCTTATCGATAGATTAGATGCAGAAGCCTTAAGTGAAGGTGAAAGTACGACATTTATTAATTGGGGAAATTTATTAATCACAAAAATTAACAGGTAAGTTATTTGGTTCTTGTGTTAACTTTTAAAATTTTTAATGATAGTAAAATAATCTTGAATTTTCGAGAAGTTACTATATACTGTTTACTTAATAAACACTATATTTTCTTCTCCTAATCTCCTATATCTCCTAATCTCTGCCACTGTTTATCCTTTATAGGCGTTTTATAAGCTGTTATTTAAACTTTGTACTCTTATTTTTGCCACCAATTTATGTAGAGTGCCTGCAAAAAATATAAGTTTTATTTTTAAGTTTTGATATACTTAGTTGTTTGTACAATTATAAAAAGTTTCATAATAATAATAACAAAAAAAACTCATTACTCAATTATGTTGAAATAATATATATATATATATAAATATATATATATATATATATATATATATATATATATATATTTATATATATATATATATATACACAGGGTGAGTCACGCTCAACGGGACGGAGCCTACCGGGGAAACGGCTAAAGATATTAAAAATTTCTTTTGCAGGAATATGTAGGTTAGTACCGGCTACAAATTAAATTTTGTGAGATATATACAGGGTGTCCCAATTTGGCGTAATGATATAAACTTATACTTTTTTAAATGGAACAACATATATTTCACTTTAATTTTGAATTCTACTCAACAAAATAATGTTACTTTATTCAACATTCCCTATACCTATTTTTGACCGGTTTCGATTTATTTGGGTTTTTCTGAAAATGTACTATTCGCGAAATTAATTAATTACACAATATCGCATGAATTTTAATTAACGCCTGTTTGTCAGTTAATTGTCAAGTATCCATGCTTTACATCAGAATAATTATCATTTGAAACTAATCTACAGAGTGTTCGCAATCTGAAGTGTCAATGCTGTACCATATTTTGTATAATTACTTTCTTAACTTAAATGGGACACCCTGTATTTTACTTTAATTTTGAATTCTAATTAAAAAAATAATATTACTTTATTAAACAATCCCTATACCTATCTTTGAGAATTTTCGATTTATTTGCGTTTTTTTGAAAATGCACTATGTATTCTTGAAATTAATTAATTTTTATCACTTTATTACATAAAGTTCTACTCTAACTTAAACAAAAACCCTGTATTTGAATGTTGTAACAATTATTATAATCAAACTATTGTAAAATTTTATAATATCTAGTATCTTCAAATCTATTTGCATTATGTTACCTGGAACATTAAATGTCATTAATTACATAGCTCGTTATTATAAAGAATGCCATGAAAAAACAAAAGGTACCTAGCTGTCAAACTAATTGTCAAACTATTAACTGTATTGCTTTCAATTAAATAGAAATGGCAGATTATTCAATTGAAGACCGAGTAAATATGATTTTAATACTGGGTGAATGTGATCAAAACAGTTTGTTAGCATCAAGAGTCTATGCTGAGAGATTTCCCTTAAAACGTCATCCTCGTAAAGAAGTATTTGACAGAGTCTTAACAAGGTTTCGTGAAACTGGCAGTGTTGTTTATACTAAACGAAAATTAATAAATCCGATAACTGAAGATGAAAATACCGAATTAGAAGTTATTCAATCAGTTATTGAAAATCCAAATACAAGTACAAGGACGATGGCCAGGGAGATTGAAGTAAGCCAAACTAGTATATGCAGAATTCTTAAAAAATATCAATATCACCCATACCATATTCAAATGCATCAGCATTTGTATGGAACTGATTTTGAACGTAGGTTAGAATTTTGTTTATGGTTTCTAGACAAAACGGGAGCAGATCAACATTTTTTTTTGATAAAATTTTGTTCACTGATGAATCTACTTTCCATAATAATGGACTCGTGAACCGACATAACTTTCACTATTATAATACGGAAAATCAACATGAATATAGATGTACTGATCGACAAAACCGATGGTCCCTTAATGTATATGGTGGAATAATAGGAGAACATGTGATAGGACCGTATTTTTTTAATGGCCATTTAAATGGACAAAAGTTTTTAAGATTTCTACGAAGAGACTTTTGGATACTTTTGCAAAATATCCCTTTAAATATTAGAAGAACAATGTTTCTGCAGCTAGACGGTGCTCTAGCACATTACACGCGTAACGTTACAAGAGAATATTTAGACAGAAAATTTCCCGGAAAGTGGATAGGTAGGGGTGGTGCTGTCAATTGGCCCCCTAGATCACCTGGGTTAACATCAATGGACTTTTTTTTTGGGATATATTAAAAGTTTGGTTTATCAAACTCCACCTACAACCGCTGAAGACATGAAAACGCGTATTCGTAATGCGTTTGCAACAGTTACTCCAGAAATGCTAAGAAGAGTAAAACAAAATTTTGAACACAGAGTGAGATTATGTATTGAAGAAAATGGACACCATTTTGAACATTTAATGTAAATTAATTTTTTTCTAGTGTGTTTTGTTACTTTATGTAATAAAGTGTAATTCATTAATTTCAAGAATAGTGCATTTTCAAAAAAAACCCAAATTAATCGAAAATTATAAAGGATAGGTATAGGGATTGTTTAATAAAGTAATATTATTTTTTTGATTATAATTCAAAATTAAAGTAAAATACAGGGTGTCCCATTTAAATTAAGAAAGTAATTACACAAAATATTATACAGCATTGACACTTCGTATTGCGAACACTCTGTAGATTAATTTCAATTGGTAATTATTCTGATGTAAAGCATGGACACTTGAAAATTAATTGACAAAAAGGCGTTAATTATAATTGATGCGATATTGTGTAATTAATTAATTTCGCGAATAGTACATTTTCAGAAAAACCCAAATAAATCGAAACCGGTCAAAAATAGGTAAAGGGAATGTTGAATAAAGTAACATTATTTTGTTCAGTAGAATTCAAAATTAAAGTGAAATATAGGTTATTCTATTTAAAAAAGTATAAGTTTATATCATTACGCCAAATTGGGACACCCTGTATATATCTCACAAATTTTAATTTGTAGCCGGTACTGACCTACGTATTCCTACAAAAGGAATTTTTAATATCTTTAGCCATTTCCCCGGTAGACTCCGTCCCGTTGAGCGTGACTCACCCTGTATATATATATATATATATATATATATATATATATATAATATATATATATATATATCCAATTTCACTATCACTCAGCACACACATTTTACTTCAAATCGGTGTCTTTTCGAGGGGATATATTGTTGTCTAAAAAGGACTCTGTCATGTTCTGCTGGATTTACATTGTCGACGAAGTGTAAATATTTAAGTAGTTAAAGAATGCGATCTTGGTGATATATTTTGTAAAAAAGTACGTTTTTATTAATTTATCTGTTGTCCAGCTTCGGCATTAGCATCACTAAAGCGAAGAGGGTATACATGTCACTCATAATTGTGCCAGTCCATTTTTTTGATTTTGTACTTCTGATGTCTCATCCAAATAATATATTTTCCGCTTCTCCTCTCTATAAGCTCTTATCTTTTGAACATATTCTCTTCTAGGCAGAACTAGAAGAACTAGAACTAGAATTCTAGAACTAGCCACATCATAATGTCGTCTCTATCTAGTAAAAGAGCGTTTCTTACTTATCTTTTCTTATCATTTCTTACTAACCTTATCAACGGTGGGTATTTCGATGCACATAAAAAATTATGAACCAGTCTTTTAATGGCATTTTTGTCAAAATCAGCAATTTTGTTAAACTTCTTTTTCCATGACAGGCATACTTTTGGTCCAGCGAATTGATTATTCGTTTTGTATTCCTTGATCACCGTAAACACACTTCTACCACAAACTCCAACTTTATTGGCCACTTTTTTCACAATATCTTAACCACTAACCCGGGATTTTCTTGTCTTTCACATTTAAAATGATTTCTATAACTTCAACGCTAAGAGGGCTTCTTTTACTTCTTTTTCGAGGAGGACTCCATGTATTTTCAACCAATTCATCAGCAGAATTAGTGGATGACATGTTTGGTTTCAATATCTGTTATTGAAATACGTGGTTACAGTAATCACAATCACGTATAGATAGGGTCGTTAAATAAAAATATATACTTAAATAGTTTTAAATCCCACAACATATAATTGCTAATTCAACATTAACAGCATAAATATAATTTATTGTTCTTTAACCATCGAGATGACTAAAAATTTACTTACAAATCGATTCAAATTACAAAATTTTAATACCGAAATATAATACCTACTTAAATCGTGTCCGAACCTGTATGAGCTGCCGACAACGTAGGCAGTAACGAAATAAAGATGGACATTTCGGTTAGTTTTTAAATATTCTTGAAGAACTATTACTTGCATGTATGTATAAAATATTCATTAATTTTATAAATCGGATTATTTTTTCACTTACTATGTATTCAGTGATAACAATAATTTATTTACTATGCAATAAACACTAATAGTTGAGAAAAGAAAAAAATTAATAAAGTGTCATAATTATCTGTTACTTATCAGAACGAGTAGACTCATTTGGAACATCTTTAACAATTATCTGTTAAATTTATTGTTGTTTATATGCCCTGCATCGCTTAATGAAATAAACTAGTAATAAATAGACTAGTCAATCAAATTTTTGATTACTGTAGTCATCGCCAGTTTTTCAGGACAGTTCTACATATCTGTAATATGCGACATCCGAGGTCGTCAACGAATCTTTTAAACTCTCACATTTAGACGTTGGTCCTTCTAGTCGGATTAAATTTTTAAATCCAGCCTTAAAAACACTGGCGAAGCGTCCATGGATCCATTGTTACCATTGGCAACAGTTAAAAATCTTGCAAATAATTATTTTATGACTAATGTGAAATAATTCCATTTAAATTTTTTACCAATAGATATATGTGTTGATAGTAATTCAGTAAAGAGCCACTAGACCCACGAATATGTTTGGCGAGTTTGTGCGACGCGCTTGTATGTTACGTTGTTACCACGTTTGTGCCTACGCGTGATGGTCAGTCAGCTATCGATCGGAGCCGGCATGCGTCTGAAAATTTTTAA